AGGGAAAGAAGCGGAGGAAGCTTCCACTTGGTGGAGATTTTGTTTTAAACAGTGAATGGCATAATATCATGCAATAAAATCATGACACGTGTCAAGCCGATGAAATGTCTAATCTTTTGTGAGAGAGTGTTAATATTCTCGTCGTACCATACAGATCACATTTTAGAAAGGTAATTAAAGATTAGCCTAACAATCAGTAGTTAAAAAATTAAATTATAAATTACGAACATAGGAAATGAAAACACAGAAATTATAAATTCATCGCACTTATACATGTATTTACTATAAACCATATAATATACGATTCATGTAGTTATTTTAATATACACACGACACGAGCAAGCAGTCTTTGTCTTCGGCATTTAACTCTTTGAACACGACTCGTGACACGTGTTTCCATCGTCAACCTATGGTTAAATCTATTTATGATTAGTCAATTGAAAATTGGTTTAAATATTTTCTATATAACTCACATGACCATGACTAATAATTTCTCAATGAATAAACAATGAAGGGATTAGTAATACTCATTAAAAAAAAGTGTATTATGACCATTTCATTTTATACTGTATATATAATATTTCCAAGCCATTTACTTACTATTTTACTGGATAATCAATTTAATTTAATAGTTATAATTTATAAAAAAAAAACAAAAAATTAAATCTAAACCCAATAAAAAATAAAAATTACTAAAAAAAATAAATATTTTTCTTCATCAAAATCAAAACTAAAAAAAACTTAACCAAAATAGAATTAAATCAGATCGAACAAAATGAAATAAATGGACGGATATAATTTTTTAAAACCGAAATAACTTATTTCGAATATAATATAATTGAATCGGAACAAGCCATGCACAAATTCCGAGCGGACAACTCAAAAGGGTGACGTGCACGTGTCCCTGCCACGTCAGAAAACCTTTATATATTGGACAAACCGACATACTAAGCTCCTGCATGGTTGACCACTCTCTAAAGTTTGACTTCACATGGCCACCGTCGGATCGTTTCCTTTCTTCTCAAGCAACGTCCGATCTGCAGAATATCAGATGTTGCTACAATCTCTTCATATGTATGAATTCTTACAGATCAATTGGTCCCGGAAAAAGGGCAGATGGATCATCTGAGAGACATTTTCTTGAAATGGTCCAAGAGAATCTCCTGGTTCCTGTGTCTGATTTCTTCTCCGATGGCTTGGAACCATGGGAGATCGGACAAAGAAGAAACGGGTTTCTTGAGAGTCACGTAAGCTTTCTTGTAGTTAGGTCTGGACACCAGCCGGTTGCCTCTTCTCTTCTTCTTCCCCTCCATGTTCAGTGTCCGTACCTTCTCCACTCCGATTCCGTACATGCCTTCCATAAAGTTCTTGATCTCCAGCTGTTCTTTTCAGCATTAGAGAGCATAAACAGACAAAACACATTGGATATGTACTTTAAAAAAAAAACCTTTGTGACAGATGGGATGGTTCTGAAAGAGATCTCCTTGATGTTGTCTGAAGAAGATGGAATCAGAAGCTTCAAGGACCCATCAAAGAGCTTGCTTCCCATCTCCTCGCAAATCTCACTATAATCATATATAATCGTCAACATCACGCCACATCCAAATAATTTCCCAAATGGGTATACTACAAAACTCTCAAATAAGATGAGCCATGGTTATGGTTCAGTGTTTCAGAATAGCATGAACCAGAAATCTGTCGCACGGGCTCTGTCCAACGAAATTATCCGTCGGATTTTTCAGAAATATGAATCAAAACTCAGATTTTTCAAAAGATCCGATCAAAGAAATCAGATTATTGAATCAATAATAAGGGAAGAAAGGAGACAGGAGAGTTTGTTCACCTGACGACAGCGACGGAGGTTGCAGAGACAGAGAGAGGCGGCGGGATTGTAAGGGTGGGGGATGTTGCTCGTCGTCTATAATGAAGTAACTGGAAAAAAGCCCAATGGGCTCGGCCCATTTAGTTATTTTACTTTTTTAAATTTTAAAATAATAATAAATTAAAAAAAGGCTGTAAATTTAATCTCCCTCTCTTCCTTCTCCGTAGCTTCTTCTCCCATGTCTCCAATGGAGTCCAAATCTCAAGGAAATTCGAATCGCTGACTCTCCTCACATCTTCTTCACCACTCTCTACGCGACGCCTTCTGCCTCAATCGGAACGGCTAATCTCGTTTGTAGATTCGTCAGATTTTACATCTGCGGACGGACGGAGGATGTTCGGAAAGTACATTACCGGCGGTGGTAATGGCGGAGGATCGGACAGTGAAGAGAACCGTGATCTGTCACCTGGTTGCATCGTTCTCAATTTTCGAGGTAAAATCTCGTGAGTTTGATAGAGGGCGTTCAATGGCTTTTTTCAACATACACGAAAACCGCAGGGGATGTGACTTTCTCTTTCAGGTGACCTTCTCGTTTTCCCTTATCCTCCCATGGAAAAAACCTTGATTTGATCATAGAATCCTTGAGATGATGATGATAATGATGATGCAGCCTCCTCATGTTTCATCAGTTTCAGTCCCATCCGAAAACAGAGACGGCAGCTATTCAGAAGAGAACGAGTCTTTGTCTGAACAGCAACAGTCAGTGTCTGACTGTCTGGTTCTTGTTTCTCTTAGAGGAGATGCACTCAAGATTTTGTTCTTTGGATGAACCATGGAAAAGAGGGTTACTATCATTCATTTCGACACAGGAAACAAGGTTTCAGAAGTGAAAGGAAACGAAAAAAGTTTCCTCCTTGATCGATCGATATGCCAAAACTCAGTATTCATAATGGCGATACCAAAAAAAAAGAAAAAAGGGGGGGGGATCTGTCAGACCATGTATGTCATACCGACCTGCATGAGATGCGAGTGAGGCACGTTCAGGTTAGCTATTCCTCTCCTGCAGTTCTTCCTCAGGAACGCGTAGAAGTAATTTATCACCAGCTTCTTTATGAACCATGATTCCTTCCTCGCTCTTATATCCCCATGGCCGAGCAGATATACCACGCCTGATTCTTTGGCTTTGTGTATGAACGACAGCTCCCTCTCCAGGCTCTGCTCCGATTCTGACGCCGTGGAATCCGAGGAGGATGTGTTGTTCGGTTCGAAGATGGGTTTGTTCATGTCTCTGTACTCGGACAGGAGAGAGACGCCGAGAGAGTACATGCTTCCGTTCGGGCCGATGAGAACCCTTGACCCCGCAAACTCTTCCTCTGAGTCCGAATCTTCGCCCCCACCGTCGCTCTCGAGCGAACGTTCTTGAGCTTCCCGTCGGATAAATTTCTCGAGGCTCTCGATCAGCATCTGCTCGAATGTTTGGTGGTTTTCCTTTCTTACATCCTTGTACCCATATCTGAAAGAGACGAGCAAAAACAAAACAAAAAACAACAGTATCATCTTTCTAATTGCAGAAAAAAGAAGAAGCTCTGGCAGTCGAGAAGAAGGAGAAGAAGCCTTACCGGGCAATGCAACGGAACAAGTGATAGCTTTTGGCACATACACGTCTGAAGAGGAACCGTTCATTCTGGGGGACGACTGGAACGGGAACATACTTTATGCACACGAAGATAACCATGGAATGGATTGCGGGAAGTGTGGCCAGAAAATGGCCGAATATCGCAGGCACTCCTTTCACTAACTCGTTGTACAGTAAACCGATACCGGGAGCTCTTATTGTACCGAGATTGCAACCGAGTTCTCGCATTAACTCCATCGATAGCTTCTGTTTGACTTCAGTTTCGTACTTGAGCTTTCTCCCGTAGTTCCAGATGTACATTATGCAAAACATGATTATGGCAAAAACCAATATTATCCAGCTTCCATCCCCAACACTTGCTAAAACCGACGAGAAAAAGATCAACTCCACTCCCAGGAAAATTAGCAGGAAT